TTCAGTGCTTTTCCATTTGAAAAACACTTTATAAACATCTTATTTTATCCTAACAATCCTAGGAGGTAGGTGCTATTATTTACCCCACAGATGAAGAAACTGAGGCAGGCAGAAGTTAAACGACTTGCCCAGGATCATTCAGGAAGTGTCTTAGGCCAGATTTGAACTCAGGTCTTCCTGACCCCAGGCCCAGCACATGATATACACTGTGCCACCTTTATCTCATTCTCATATTATTTTTATTATTATCGATACAAAGCTGTGATTTCATTGGTGTAGGGAGTGCCTTGAGAGGAAACTCCCTCTGCTAGCTGCTCTGCAGCTTATGTAATCTTGGAGAGAGTTGCCCGGGAGCCAGAGAGGTTGAGTGGTTTCTCTAGAGTCACACAACAAGTATGTGTCAGAGATAGAACTTGGACCAAGATCTTTCTGGCTCTGAAGCTGGCTCCCTCTCCCTTGAAGATCCTTGTCTCTTTATTAATCATTATTCATAATAACACCGATTTATATTGGCTAAAGATTCCTATGACAAAAGTGGAAGGTCACTGCTAACCCCAGCTGCCTGTCAAGTCCTTCGGCAAGAAACACGTGTTTACTGGAGGAGTGGTGCCCAGAGCTGGGTCGTGAATTAGCCCCCCAAGGAGCATTGACCCTTGTTTGCTGTCAGGGCCCACCGCCTAGAGTCCAGGACCCCTGCTGGGCCAGACTTCAGGAACTTGGAAGTCTTTTTCCTGTGAAGGCTATTTGGTGGGATTTGTGTGGGCACAGACTCATGTAACAGGGGCGTGGAGGAGGAGGGACACTGGCTGGGAAAGCTGACCGGGGAATAGCCTGAAATAAAACAGGTGTGTGTATGTGTCAGCCGACATATCATTAACACCTGCTCTGGCTTTCTAGGAAGCGTGAAAAAGCTGGTAAGCAGGCTTTAGCTCAGAGGTCTGTGCGTGCGGTGTGCTGGGGATGGAGAGAGTGAAGCGTCGGTGTTGTGACAGAGAAACCAGTCATTAATGACAAGCTGCATTTCTGTGGGTTTTAAGGGGGAAGAGAAGGGAATGAGTATTTCTATAGCACCCTCCATGTGCCAGGCACTGTGCTAAGTGCTTACAAATAGCATCTCATTTGATCCTCACGACAGCCCTGCGAGGCAGATCCCACTATTTATCTCCATTTTACAGGTGAGGAAATTGAGGCAAACAGGGTGAAGTGACTTGCCCAGGGTCACATAGCTAGGAAGTGTCTGAAGTCTCCCTGAATCCAAATCCAGTGCTCTATCTACTGCACCACCTGGCTGCCTCTGAGATTTGCAAAGTATATTATATGTTCTATGGATCTCCTTTCATCCTCCTCAGAAACCTCTGAAGCAAATGCTCTTTACTCTCCCCTGTTTACCGATGAGGAAGCTGTCCTCAGTCCTTCCTCCTGCATCCCACCTGGGTATAAGCCTCTCTGGGCTTAGCTGGGCTGGTCCTTGGACTGCAGACATACAGTTTATCTGTAGGCCTCTACCGGAAGCCCTGTTAGCTCGTGAGGACCTGACCAAGCCAATGGGTTCCGTCAGCACAGGCCTCCAGGGTCCAGGGTCACTCCACAGTGAGATAAGGCATGGGGAGGAGGATTCTGGTGGAGAGCTATGCACACAAATGAATGTAGACACAGATATGTACGTTATATTGTATTCCGAAAGCCTCCCTGCCGCCTTAACCTTTTACTAGCATAAATTTCTAATCACTTAGATACGTCTAATATGGAAGCATATAGATACCAGATGACACTCTGCTTTAGGGCCCAATCACAGAAAAAGGCAGTTGTCATGAAATGACATAAAAAGCAAATACAATTTTATGGATATTAGCTTCTGCTACAAAAAAAAAAAAAGATAGCATCATTATCTCAAAATTCATACCTCCTTGTTTGGTTGAGAATTTAAGCTCCTTCCAAGTTAAAAAGCAGAAATACAATATCCACTTATTTATGGCCAGTTCATAATGAATATCACCTAGTGTCCGGAGCCCCCTGGGAATAGTTCAACCCAGGGGTCTGTCGACAAGGCCTTTGACATCAACACTGACCCCTCTGTGGGGGGCTGGCTCTCACAAGCCCTGAAGTCGGTGGGGATATAGATGAAGGGGCAGGCCCACCAGGGGAGTTCTCAGGAGTGGGCAAAGAAGTGGGAAACCTGTTGCTGGAGAACACACAACTTCCGGAGCCCGAAGAGGCTTTGGATGGTGGTAAAGAACAACTGGACTCCCACATTTAGTGTGAGGCACCATTGCAGAGAGCTGGCCCCGGAATCAGGAATATCTTGGAAGACCTGGGTTCGACTGCTGTGTCTGACATGTGCTGGCTGTGTGACTTTGGACAAAGTACATCACTTCTCTGAGCACCGGTTCCATTACTTGTAAAATGAGAGGGTTGGACTGGGTGCTCTCTAAGGTCCTTTCCAGTTTATGATCCTAAGTTGGAGAGTAGATACTGGTCAGTGTTGGAGAAACTGCCCCCTTGGAAGTCTATTTACCAATAGAATCACAGGTCCATTAGGAAGGAAGAAAATGTGTGTGATATTCCCATATATCTGCCTCAGTACATGTATATATTTATGGGTAATGAATGTAGAATATGACAGATATTATACTATAACATGCATATAACTAATGAAGACCCTCTAGGTCCTCAAGTGCGGTCCTTTGACTGAATACAAACTTCACAGAACAAATCCCCTTAATAAAAAGATTTGTTCTATAAAACTTGGATTCAGTCAAAAGGCCACACCCGAGGACTTAGAAGGCCACATGCGGCCTCCAGGCTGAAGATTCCCCACCCCTGCCTTATATCAATGCAGATTGGCAACTGGTCTGCAATTTATAGTCTTAGAGATTTGTCTGGGACACTGAGAGATTGTCTCACAGCTAGTATGTGTCAGAGGGAGGATTTGAATCCAGATCTCTCCACTGGTTCAGGTTGTTCCCACCCTTCCTCCATATATGCACCCCCCACCCCCCCACACACACATTTTAATAGACATAAGAGAAATTTGACAGCAGCTTTCTCTGTACTGGTTGGCACATTTTTATTATCACATCTAATTTAAACAAGTTCGTACGAAACAACAGAAGAAGCAAATAAGAATTGTCTGTGATTTCCACAAGGCTCTGATTATAATGTACCTGTGCCCTGGGAACTAGAGGGGGGACCCTGAGGAGCTCCTGGAACCTCTCACCAGGAGCACATTACTAGGTAGACTTTATCAGATTAGCTGAAAGTCGGCTGTGAAGACAAGAGCTTGGCCCTTCAGGGAGGAGGGATGGGCTGATGGGAGGCAGTAGGAAGAGGGGGTGGAAGGACCGTGTGTGTGTGTGTGTGTGTGTGTGTGTGTGTGTGTGTGTGTGTGTG